TATTGTAGCGAAACGATCGATCACGTGACCAAAATTCGGCCTAATCACGAGGTGACGATCAATGTTCGAAATGTTGCATATGTTGCATATATGTAACATATCAAATATATGCAACATATCAAATATGTTCAACATATCAAATATATGCAACATATCAAATATGTTTAATTTATTTAATATATTTAATATATGCAATATGTTAGATATTTTTAGTCTGGTATTTTTGCATATATATAGACCTGTAATTAGATCTGTAGTTGAAAAAAAATTGAAGTTCAGTAGAAGAGTATTCTTAATAAAAATGGTTCTAATGATTATATTAAATAAACTGTTGTTTGAATTTAACGAAATATAAATTTGTTATCCTTTATTCGTGTTGGAAGTATATGCCGACGTACAGTGCTATACTACACGTCTGATTGGATTGTTTATTAAGTGTTTATAAATATAGTTTATTTATTGATTATACAAGACTACCTATATACCTTCTGCTTACCCTTTTCCATTTGTTTACGTTTGTAAACGCTAAAGAACTGGCTATAACAATATCATGATTTGCATGTGATCAAAACTATGATGTGGTTCCGTTCAGATTTACTTCACGCCTTCACGGGTAGAAATACCGACCACAGCCATATTAATTTTTCTTCTCTTACAGCGCAATTAAATAAATAATTAAAGACTTTTTTATGTTTTATGTTTAATAAAAGTTTTTATCGGTAAATAATAAAAAGTGCATAAATATTAATAATAACATGGACAGACATAAAGGATTATTATTCTAATTCAATATATATAGTTTTAATATATTTAAAATTAAATAACTTGCTACGTGGCTTGGTAGTTTTGATGCGGAAATTATTGTTATAGTAAACTAGTAAGGTATTAGGTAGTTTATGAACTTATTCATATATATATATATAAATTAAAATAACACAATAGAATGGATGCGCAATCGTTATTTCTATTTTTTTTTTCAATTGGACCAATAATATTTTTATTTACTCATATTTTGAAATCACATTTCTTCCACAATTCAAACAATCAACTGATGATATTAGGTTATAATCTGATGATTTCTTATGGAAATTTGTTTTGAAAAATTATTGACAAATTTATTAGACAATATTAAACGAATTTCTTATGTTATCTAATGTGTCCCGGACTCCCGGTGTCTTATGCACATTATATATTGCAAATCCATGGGAATATTTCTGGAAAATTCCGGACATTTCTAAATAATTTTAAATATACCGGAACATTTTATGATTGGATGCCTTCTTTTTATAGAGTAATAAAAGTAGTAATCGAGATTTGAGATGAAATAATTTATTTTAATTAGAAATACGTTCTGAATTTTTAATTTTAAAACAAAATAGTGCCAATATTTAGTTATTATAATTTTAATGAAGATTTAATAAAGTATTTAAAATTAAAAACTTTAGGTTAATTTATCATGGATTTATTATTTTACTTAGAATAGCTAATATTAATTACATCATATGTTTGCGGCTGTGTGAAGGCTTTGAACTTTACGTTATGTGGCAGATTCCGTCTTGATGTCACTTGACATGGTAAAGTGTTTTATTGGCTATTAATTTTAAAATATAAATAGTTCAAAAATTCATGATTCAACTAATGATCCCCCTTTTCCTTTTCCCTTTTTCTTTCTTTTTACTTTTCATTTTATTCTCAAAATAATCAAAGTTTCAAACTTTTATTATATAATTATATTGGTTATTACATATTTAAATATCAAAGTATGTATACAATATATGTAAATACCAATTAAAATATTTATAAGACTTGCATAAATTAAATTAAAACAAATTGTTTATCTATATGTATAGTTAAACACATTCTACAAAGTATTTTTTTTTTTATAAATTATTATTATACCATCCTTCATCAACAAATGTATCAAAAATAAGAAATGAAATAATGATATATATGATTCAGATTCAGATGAGATAATTTTATAATTTTACCAAATTAGCATACTCCTTTATTGTCATCACTGTTAAATATAAAACAAATAATTACAGTATACATATACAATACCATTCTGATTTACAAATTCTGTCAAGTACTTATTTACATTAACCAAAGGCAACACCAATTACCTTAAACGGTAATTTCATAAAATTTATGAAATTTTACTAGTATAAGATTGATTTTAAGACAATGGCATACATCTAAACTCTAAAGATATGTGACAGATAAAAATTATTTGATGGCGAATTATTAATAGACGTATTAAAGTCTGATAAAAAGTCATGTTAGAATTGCTAAACTCTATATTGTCTTTTATTACATATTTGACTTATTCCAATATAAATAATTTACCAAAATCTTAACTGTGAGCATTATATTGCATTTTACATGTTTAGAGTAAACTGTAATTGGTTTAATAAACAAAAAATGGGATTGTAACTGATTTAATTAATCTAATAATGACCAAAAAATATTTATATACTATAACATTATGATACTATTGAAGACCATTTATATCTCTATGCTCTGGTGACTTAATCAATGGACACTCAGTAAAGCTTATTATCTCAATGAAACTCATGGTATTGATAGATTTATTGATATTTATACAGAATAATACTAGTTACAATAACAAATAAAGATACTTAAGATTATATACATATATTTAGTATAATATAGTTATTACAAGTAATCAAAACTCCTTTTTCTCTATATAATTCAACCAATTAAAAAAAATTGGAAACTTTCTTATTTCATTATTTTTGGGATGAATTTGGATATATTTTAAATATGTGATCATTTTTCTGAGCTAAGCCTTTCACTTCTACCCTGTAAAAAAAGTTGATCCATTTTTTATATTCCATCTTTTTTTCTGTAAAAGGCTTATATTTACGGAATTAATAACCTTATATCACAGAATTTATCGAATCATTTACATTTCTGTGAATGGATCCATGAAAGGCTCTTTTGCAGAGTTTTAACAGAAATAATGGATAAAATCTTTTATAGGACTAAGAATATGGCTGAAGCAGCTGGATGCTTATTTGAACTTTTCACCTCCTACTATATTACAATCTGATAATGGAAAAGCATATAATTATATTTTTAAGGTTTTTTGCAAAAATACAAAGCTATTTAAAGCTGTTAGATCTTGACAAATTATAGAAGACAATAAATCAAATGCTAAACCCAAATCCAGGTCTAATGAAATAAGAGAAGCATGCTGTACAAGAAAAGTGTATTATAAACTGCTTGAGAAAATTAAATACTTTGAGCATTCATTTAAATTGATGATTTCAAACTTTCAGATATCGGCATTTGCATTAATCACAAAAATTGCAACTTTTAATCATTAACCCTTATATTCCACCTTCAGTTCAGCAATATATAGAAATTGGTTTTATCAAAGATAATAATATAAATTTATGATAATTGAAAAGAAAACCTTTATCTATATATAATTTATTTATATTTATTTTTATCCTGTCTGATTTTCAATAATTTGAACCTAAATGAAAATCATGATCAAAAATTCCTTCCTTAAATACTTCCTTACAAATTACTATTATAATAATCTCTTATATACTCCTAAACTTAAACCTAAATTCTGACACTTGTTTATTTATAAAGAATGAATTATAAAGTTAATTACTTTTTAATAAACTTCTTTAACAAAATGCAGAATATATATCATTTTGGTGTTAAGTACAGATAGAAGGAGGCATGGGACACCCAGACCAATACTATTACCAATGTGATAAAATTGAAAAATTAGAGAAAATAATTATTTCAGCAGTTATTATATTATTAAACATTCAAAATATTTAAGTATATTTTATATTTTATACACATATTTTCTTTTTTTACCGGAACTAAAAAATTTAATGATAAACATTTGCTTTATAATGCAGTTGTTTTCTGGAATCAATACTGCTATTTCTATACACAGATTCACAAATTGAGTCCATCACAATGTAATCTGACTCTTTTAGAACACTATGATCCACAAGTCACAAATGTTTTACCAATCCCTATATAAGAATTAATAACAAGAATCAGCTTGCAATCAAATCAAAAAAATTGTCCAAAAGAAATTGACAAATAAATGATAATCGAAGTATTTTCACCAAAATTATCATACCAATGAAAATTATAAAATAATTTCTTTCTTTATTAAATACAAGGAATTTGTTTTTAAAAAGTATTAACATACTTACAAAAAAGTAGAATTTAAAATTTGAATGTTATTGCAATTATCATAAGAATGAACAAGTTACAATTTAAACATTTTATAGAAAATTGGTATAGGAGAATAACAACCTTATGTATGCAAGCATCTTGGTATAATCCCTTAACTT